ATGGCAAACATTCTCAAAGGCATTCGAAATATCTTTGTTCATCAGTTTATTATTGAGAACTTCCTGATTCTCTCTGTAATGACAGGACGTCAGCAGTGGAAATAGAGGGGCGAAATCCAGGTTTCGTGGGTGCCATAGCTTTAGATTTTCTGTGGTAACTTCCTATATCAAAAGCATTCGAAATATCTGAGGTGATTGCACTTGTGAGGAGTTTATTGCTGTGTGCAACGACAGGGCATCAGCAGTGGAATTAGAGGAGGAAAATCCATATTGCTTGTCGCTCAGGACGTTTTTCTCCCTAGAATTAGCCAGGATTTTTAGCTACATAGACCTTGACGACGATTCACATGCGTCATCAACTTGTGGGGTGAGTGAGAAAAGCTAATTAAGTAAATCGTATCATTATTTTTTTATAAGTATCGTTATTTTTTAAAAAATGCATTGAATGCAGCTAAACTGAGCAAGTCACGCAAAAGAATATTCGTACATTAAAGAAAAGAGTTTTTCAATTTATGATACATAAAACTTTTCAAAAGGGCCGTGTGTGTATGTAAATATATAGAAAAATAGGAAAGAACACGTTAGGTAAATTTAGGAGTTCTTTAGTATTTTTGTTTTTATTTTTAAGAAACAATGCTCAATACAAAAAGTAGAGTCTAAATTATAATTATTTTTTTAAAATATGATTCCTTCGCTACATGTAAATTTCTTCCATATATATATATATATATATATATATATATATATATATATATATATATATATATATATATATTTGTTTATGTATGTATCCAAAGTTATAGTAGTGTTTTCCAACACGGTCAGCACATTCTGGTTGTGTTCATCATGTGCTGTTATTGAGTGTTGGTATTTTCTTTTTCATTAATAATGTTCCTATTATTTAAAGTCTTTTTAAATGTACATAAGGCTTTTATAAATGTTTCAGTTCGATATTCCAACCACCTGAAGAAGGCCGGAGCGTACAACGGTCGGAACGTTATGATAAACATGGCGACAAAGATGAGGATCAATAGTCCGAATAATGTAAATAGTTAACATTTTTCAATCAAAATTCAATATCACATTGAAAACAAAAGCAATGATCAAATTTTGGTGTGTTGAATTTTCCCACCCACAATCATTCTACAAATTCTTATGATATTGAAAGAATCTCATACAAATATCAAAGGTTGGAAATGTTTTTTCTCTTTTGTTTCCCATCTCTAAGCTTACTGAATCTATTTGCAAGAAGCCGACAGCTCACAAGATTGACACCACAAGTTTACCATTGAGTCATGACAGACATAGCGTATAATCAGCAGGAGGTCAGGGCAGCTAGGAAGATTCTCTCCACCTCCAAGAAAAATGTCGACACAAAACACGATCGAGCGGACTTTCGTTCAACGGTCTAGACGCGGACGTTAGACTTAAATCATCTGTCACAGTTATTCGCTTTTACAGAAAGGCTCATGTTTAAATTCATGTGTCTGTAAAGAAATAGACATACGTATATGGAAAACTTACAGAAGGAGATAATGAAAAGTTGTCGGACTGACTCAGATGTGACTAAAAAAGAAATTCTGATGTTTAGCCGAAAACATTTTAACACTACATTCTATCGCTCTATTTATCTATCTATGTATGTTTCTCTCTTTCTCTATCTGTCTTTCTCCTATATATATATATATATATATATATATATATATATATATATATATATATATATATATATATATATATTCAAAATTATAACATATGCCTGTTGTGACATTACTACAGAAATAGCGATTTTGTTTCAAGATTTTTAGTGTCTTATCAAGTGAGGGGAGTTGCTTGCAAATTGTAATTTTAAATTCTGTAGAACCACATCTCCGTCGCTTTGAGTCTCTTTTTCATATTTGAAGAAATCGCACAATATCAACGGCCGTAAAGAAGAACAGATGTCACGTAAAAGCTCAATATTCTTTTCTTTGTTACGAAAGAAATCCTCCTGTTTCGCAATACTCTACCCAGCTTTTGGAATGCGTCCTTGGCCATCCCAATACGTCTACGGATCTCAGTATCACACTTACCGTCCTCTGTCAGAACGCTTCCCAGATATTTAACCTTCCGCGTCTGCTTGATTCTAGTGTTCCCGACCTTCAGATCGCATTTCAGGGCTCATCCTTTTTATATATATATATATATATATATATATATATATATATATATATATATTGAACAATAAATAAAATATTAAAAAATTAAAAAATTAAGATCTTCAGACACACTGGGTTGTAGATTAATATTCTTTCGTTTTTTTATTATTATTTCATTTAGATTCCTCGACTAGTTTCGGCCAAAATGGCCATCATCAGGAAAAGAAATATATATATAGGTCAAAAAATTTATTTTGTTAGAAAGATTCTGTACAAAAACTTATTGTATAAACTAAACTGAGGATTGGAAAAAAGGCACCTAATATTTAATATACTGATATTAATTTATAATATATTTATATATATTTATAATATATTTATATTTATAATAAATTTATATTTATATTATATTTATATTTATAATATATTTATATTTATAATATATTTATAATATATGAATTTTGACAGAGAAGAATTAAAACTTTGTTACTTACAGTTGGATTTTCAGTGTTTTGTCTTAGAAAAATAATTTGTTGTTTTCATTTTAACTGGTTTCACTTAGCTTTTGTTGTGTAGGAACCTACCACCCCTCTTGAAGATGAACTCGTCTACAAACAAGGACGTTAGATAGTGGCATGTCAAAAGACAGTGTAGAAGAAGTTCTGAGCTGAGTTAGTTATAGACTACTCAGGCGATATCTGTACCAACTTACCAACCGAATAAACCCCATTTTATTGTTACATGTTATTTGGCGTTTGTCTTTATTAACCCCAAATTAACATCATAACAGCTTTTCAAAAGAAAAATTACTGTTTTATCTCCGCGTGTTGATGCTTTTGTACCAATGAAAAAAAATCGAAAATCAACGGGCGTAACTGTCTATATATGTCATTTAGGATAAGTGGAATTTGGTAGATTTTATTTATGCAATGAATTAAGTATGGATTAGAACTGGTTGATGAAAAATATTTCTTTATTAATCCGCCTTTGTTCAGTAGGTCTGTAGTCGCACTGGTAGAACGGGAAGACACTAAAATTTGTCAGATTTTATCCTCCGCACCCCTCTATATGTTGACTAAAGGATATTTTCCTTTCCACTAATATACATATGTTTCTATCTATATCTCTGAGACGAGGCATTATGATTATGATTACTTGCTTTGTTTACATTATTCGGACTGTTATCTTCATCTTCATTGCCATATTCACAACGTTTCGGCTGATAAAGATGTTAGATAGATCCAGTGACTAGACCCAATGGGTTGTGAGTTCAGTACTAGGCCAAAGCAGTGATGAACCAAAACTTGGAGAGTTAAAGGGAAATAACTGAGACATCCGGAAGAGGCATGGTACGTGGAACTAGAACAATCTACCCGGTGGTCGAAATAAATGGTCCGCTTCGAAATTCCTATCAACTGAAGAAGGCCGGGGCGTACAACGGCTGAAACGTTGTGAATATGGCAATGAAGATGAGGATAATAGACCAAATAATATAAATAATGCAAGATCTTCTGTTATCACAATGTGGGGCATTTAATATCAAAAGCTGTGGAAACAGAACCAAAAGGAAAAACAATCGAAATGAACTCAGCCAGATTTTATACCCAAAACACACACACACACACACACACACACACACACACACACACACACACACACACACACACACACACACACACACACACATATATATATATATATATATATATATATATATAACATATGCCTCACAAGATTGACACTACAATGTCCTAGTAATGTCAACTGTCTCTCTTTCTGTTTCTACTCTCCATTCGTATACGTAATGGATGATATTGATCGTTATAATATATACGCATTTATAAATATACACATGTAAGTGGAGGCCATTTTTAAGCAAATTTTTTTAAGTATTTAAAGATATATGTACACAGTAATGAAAGCGTAAGCGCAAGTGTGTGTTTATATGATAGATTTCACAAATAACTGATAAATGGAAAACCATAATCCAAATATCGATTACTTAACAATGGCAAATATCAAATACTAACAACCATATAAAAGCCATACATGCAAAACAATACTTTTGCACAAACCACACATATATATGCAAATGTTCTACGGGCATTTTTATATGTGGCAAGCTAGCACACACACAGGCACACGCGCAGGCACGCACGCACACACAAACCCAAACACAAACTCAGATATCTATCTATCTATCTATATATATATATATATATATATATATATATATATATATATATATATATATAAATATATATAAGCTTTAATAATGCATCTAGTCAACAGAGACTGTCCTGCAGGTGCGTACTTATCTATTTTAATCTGTCTCTCAAATGCGACTGTTTATCTATTTATGTACATTAATGACATCTCGATTTCCGAAATGGAAGGGATGTGTCTGTATACACAGGCAAACACACACACAAATATATATATATACATGTATATATAAAATAGGAAAATTGATAACAATGTATACTTATTCTTTCTTATATATATATATATATATATATATATATATATATATATATATATATATATATATATATATATATATATAGTTACGTATGTTCCTCATGTATATATATATATATATATATATATATATATATATATTGTTTCTCAATATAAATATATATATAAATTTATATATCAATATATATATGCACGGTATATGCTCAATATCCGTAATAGAGCTAGCATTCAGCTAACTACTATCGATGCAACTGAATATATATGTATAAATACTTACACACACACATACATACATGCATACATACATACATACATATGTAGTTTTACGTTTGTTTCCCGGTATGTTTATGATTTTGCGTGTGTGTTTGTGTATGTATATAATTAGATAGTGAGAATGAGAGGGAGAGAGAACGGAAAGAAAGAAAGAAAGAAAGAAAGAAAGAAAGAAAGAAAGAAAGAAAGAAAGAAAGAAAGAAAGAAAGAACACTCACGCGCTAATGTGCCTAGCTGTATTAATATATCTTTCTATGTATAAATAATTGGTTTCTTTTGGATTAATTATAAATTAACGTTACAGAAGTTTACTATTTGCATAAATGATGATGCAATACCGTCAGACTGAGAGCCCGCGTTGTGTATACGTCAGTGCGTGCGTGTATACGTCAGTGCGTGTGCGCGCGGTTATAAAGCGATAGTTACAGACTAACGAACTGTTAAATATCCTCTATAAATATTATATATATACATCCAGGTACATACATTTTTTTTTTATGGCCGTCTTTTCAGCAAAATTTCTTTGACCTATCGGTGGCGGTTTTTACCAATGAAATGTCGCTTGGATCTACCCTCTTTAGTCATACCCTGAAGATCCGTTTGCGAAACCTTGGTAGATAGGTTTGGTCTCATTAGGATTTTTTTAAATTTTGTTCTACTTAGTGTACTGAGAATTTTTTTACCGAATTTACTCTGTCGGTGTTTTTTTCTTTGTTTTTTGTTTGACTGGGCCGTGCAGTGCTAATTGATTATTTTCGATCAACACGGATGTCTTAAGTCTTTTCTTTTTTTACTGATTTGTTTCCCTGATATCGGTTTATGCAAATATATTTTTTATTTACAAATTGTATTATCCGGGATATTTTTCACACGGCCCGAGTATATATATTAAAATGATACATAATAATAATACATATTAATAGTATTACTACTACTACTACTACTAATACTACTACTACTACTAATAATAATAATAATAATAATAATAATAATAATAATATATGTATGTGTTTTGTTAATTGTAATTTTTTGATTAATAATTTTAAATTTTATTCCTCCATTATCTATTTTAGCTATATTATTAATAGTGGACCCTGTTTATAAACATCTTGACTTTAATGACGTTAAAATCAGTTAATTTACTAGATATTAACGATTGATTGGTTTTGTTTTTATTGTTAGCAGTAGTATTACTGTTATTATTATCTAAAATATATATATTCAGATATGTTCAAAAAAAAATAGTCGGTGTCAGACATTATATCTATATAAGCTGTTTTAAAAGATATTGTATTTATATGTACTATATGCAAATTAAAGTCACTAATTATTGACCTTTGAACGAGGTTAGCCTTGATTTTTCTCTTCTAGGTCAACCTACGTCGCATCGGGGTAGTTTCCTGTGGAGCCATCCCCTTGGTTAGATTAGACAAGCTTTTGTGTACCTAGTTAATGTGAGTTGTTCCTTGTCTGTTCCCGGCTGCCTCTTTGGTTATGATTCAAGTTGAGATTCCCAACCTTCCCCGTTTGTTTCGGCCCCTTTTAATCTCGACTGGGTCAGCTTTTTATTTCTCATGTCCGTATATTTTCCCCTTTTTCCCACTCCCTTAGCGAGAGAGCCTCTTGATTTTGTCCAAGGGGCAGAAATACAGCGACCTCTCTTTTTTTGAGGGTTGGACGGGCCCCACTAAAATCAGTTATGTTTAGTTTTCTTTGTGTTTATATTTAGTTTGTTTTCGGGTTCATTCCCTCCCCTCTCATTCTATTCATCCATACATTTTTAAGTATACATTTTATAATCATTTGATTTTTATGGCATAGGGCGTGTTTTGTAGGTTCCCCTTGAGAGGATGCGGTATTATGGTGGATGGAGGATTGATTGGTGACGGACGAGTTCTTATGGTGAATGTGGAAACTATAATGTGTGAATGGGTCGGGAATCAGATTAGCTAGGTATAAAATAGTTAGTGATGACCAGCCTCAACCTCTTCCCATTTTGGCCTTGTGCCACAATTGTATTTTATATACAATAAATAATAATTATTGACGTCAAATTTCAGAATTGCTCTGTACTAAAAAAAAAAATTATCACGTAACAACATTACGTTATAACGTTAGAACAGTTAAACATAAATTATTCAATTTTATTTTATTTATTTATTTTTTTTTTTGTATATTTTTCTCCGTTATCAATAGAATTTTAACCCAGCAAATTATACCAACGGTTATATAGTTCAAAATATTAGACACATTTAAACTATCGTAATTATCAAAATCTATTTTGTATATACTCATTTCTTTATATATTCTGGTTATATTTACTTAATTTTACTTATATTTTTATTTATTTTTATTTTCTTAATTATTAGTTTATTTTATTCTTTTATATTTTATACAAACGATGCTCATTGACATCATTACGCGCACACTCGTATATATGTATGTATACAGCCTGTCTGAAGTTATTAGTCAAATCAAATAAACCTCAACAACAAAAAAGGTTTGAATCAATATTTGCCAAATTCAAACTTGTTCATTTACATCTTTAGTAAGATATTTAACTAACTTTTCTGCCATTTTTATTGTTTTGTTTTAAGTTATTTGGACTTTACAAAAATGGATTGAATGAAGTTACTATGCAGATTAACCTGATATTCGCATAAGATTTCTGAAATCTAAGGAAAACTTTTTCTTTTTGTCCGTAATATATGTTGAAACATGGGTAAAGGCAAGGATCTGACAACTGCTGAAAACCGGAAAATAACAGTTTTTAGTGAGGGAATGTCCATATTAGAGATATCAAAGGACCTTTGCAGGGATCATCGAACGATAAAGAAGACTAGAAAATATGAGCGCTCAAATCTTTAAAAAGGTTGGAATTGAGGGAGTCAAGAAAGACAAAAATTAACTAATAAGTTTAGGGCTTCTGAAATCTAATAAAACTATTTTTTTCCCGTATTTCCGTAATATATGTTGAAACCTGAATAAAAAAAAATCTAGAAAATGGTTAAAAACTGAAAATAGCAAAGTTATTGAGTGATGGAATGTCTATATTGAAGATATCAAAGGAGCTTTACAGAGATAATCGAACGATAAAGAGGGCTGTTGAAAATATAAGTTGAGAACTCGAAGCAATGGAAAAGGCTTTAAGAACTTGTCTCCTCAAGAGGAACTTAAACTAAACTGAGTTATAGTAAAACAATCACTTTTGGCCAGTGCTCAGATCTTTGAACAGGATGAGATTGAGGAAGTCAAGAATGGCAAAAGGTGTAGATTATTCTGCAAATTGGGAATCTGTCAAGAAATCTCTTAGGCAAACTTCCCTTAGTAAAGCAAATATTTTAAAACAATAATAATAAACAAATAAGACATATACAGCCTGTCTGAAGTTATTATGCAAATAAAAAACACAATTACTCGCAATTTCTGAACCAATACATTCATCCATTTCCACCTTTAGTAAAATATTTAACTAAATTTTCTGACATTTTTAATCGTTTGTTTTTGAGACATTTGGAATTTACGAAGATGGACTGACTGAAATTATAATGAGATTGAACTAATATTAGCTGAAATGTAATAAATTTCTTTTTGTCCGTAATTTATATTGAATCATGGGTAAAAAGATCTAAGTAGTGAAAACCAGAAAATAACAAAGTTATAGAAGGAATGTCCACATTGAAGATATCAAAGGAAAGATTACAGAGATCATCGAACGATGAAGAAATCTGTTGAAAATAGAAGTTGGGAACACGAAGCAAAGAAAAAGGTTTTAAGAATTTGTTTCCTTGAGATGAATATAAACTAAAGCTACTTATAGTGAAACAATCACTTTTGACTAGGTCTCAGATCTTTGAAAAAGCTGGAATTGAGCAAACAAGAAGAACAAAAAGTGTTTAAATACTTTGTGAATTAGGATTTCTAAAAAAATGTCTCCGAGACAGCGTACTTTTTAGTAAAGCAAATATTTAAAGCATCAAAATCAAGCCAAGAAATACATGAAAATTGGACTTTTTTAAAGTAAGTTTCATGTACGAATCTCGAGTGACATGTGATGGACTTAATGGATGGGCCAAAGAATGAATTTTAACCAATTCAGATGTGCCTGTGGTTAAATGAAAGCAACAAGGTGGCAATAGTGTTATGATATGGACTGGAATTGTCAACCAAACCATTACTGGACAATTCAAAATACGAGGACTTAAACTAAACAATGCCATTGCGATTTTATGAGTAAGATATTTTTGCATGGTACAAGTCCTACTCTCTCAGTTTCAAAGGGAAGTGTGTATTTATGAATGATAATGCTCTTTCTCATGTATCTAAGCTTACCTGTGAATTTTTATACTTATCTGACTAAGATCGAAAATCTACGGTCAATTATGAAGATGAAATTACAGGAAAGTAGTTAACAGTATAACAGAAAAGAAGACATATTGGAAGTAATTAAAACTAACATGTCGGAAATTGAAAATGATGAAGTAAAAAATTAACAAAATTAAAGGATTACTGGCTGTTGAGAAGGGTCACCATATGAAGTTGTAAAGGATTTTATCATATATGTTTTTATTTGTTCTATCATATTGATCAATTTTTGATGACTTTGTTACCTTTTTATTGAAGTAAAATGTAATTATTTGGTTTTGCCTAATAAATTCAGATGCCAGTCTTTTAGAGTACATCAAATAAGTTCAATAAAATATATTGACACTACCTAAAATTTTAACTCAGACTTCGTTTTGATATCTAAATTTATTGTTTAAAATTTGACAATTATTTTCTAAACCAAATTTGAATGATTGAAATCTATATGATTTTTTTAATAACTTCAAACAGGGTTTGGGTGTTAGTGTATATACACACGCACACACACACACACACACACACATATATATATATATATATAAATATACATTTATATATTTATATATGTAAAAAGTAAATATTCTCGGATGGAGTGTATCTGTAGAAGAGACAAAAAATGAATAAAAACAAACAAGAGGAAAAACAATACTTAACCAACGCTTTTCGTCTACGGAGGGAGGACATAGCCTTCATAAAGTCCCTCAGTGGAAGAAACGCGTCGACTAAGTATTGTTCTTTCATTTGTCTCTTTTATATATATATATATATATATATATATATATATATATATATATATATATGACAAAATATAGTTTTAAAGTATGCTATATTTATACACAGTATCAAGGATTATGTATGTAATTATAAAAGTGGATATCAAAATCAACACTCAGAAGCTGACGATAGGATTTTCAAACTGTTTATTCATTCAAATATATATATATATATATATATATATATATATATATATATAATATAATTTTATCATATAGACAAAACCATTTTACTCACTATAAAGATACAACTTCGACGGGTGAGAATAGAAATTAACCAATTTCGATTCTCACCCGTCAAGTCCGTTGAAATGCACCGAAACGAAGTTGTGATTTTGTAGTGAGTAAAATGGTTTTGTCTATATGATAAAATTATAATAAATAAATAATTATCGCTCTACTATCGGTATCGAGCCCTCTTTTGGATTAATGCTGTGAACGTTGGAATTTATATATTACTTTCGTTCTCATCACAACATATATATATATATATATATATATATATATATATATATATATATATTCAAATATGGATATATTCATTCAAAACGGCTTTTAAATAATATCTTTGGATATTAGGAATTTCTTCCATAATAAAAATATATAACTATATAACTATATATATATATATATATATATATATATATATATATATATATATAAAGAGGGTGAAATACTTTTTAAGGGTTTTTATTTTTCTAGGACAATGCTGACACAATCACATACAAGCATATAATCTCATATGTATATAGGGTTATGATATAGGTCAGAATAATAGTTGCATACACAATTTGCCACACATTTATAGACGTTATATATTTGTATGTATGTCACTGTGTGTATCTATGTGTACGTGTACAGACACTACACATATGCATATCTATTTGTACTCTGTATAAAATTTACTTTATTTATAGGGGCTATCGTCGATGGAAGACACAAGCTATGTGGACATAGGCATCAACACTGAATGGTGGCTGTCAGTTTCAGGCTTCAGCTTGATTTCTAGGTCATAATACACTATTTGAATTAAAACACTCGGCTCTTTGCCCGGCTATGTGTGGAATAAACTTCGCATATATTTAGACGGACACGAGTACATACAGAGATATTTACACATTCCTCTTCACGCAAATACACACACCCATATACACTCATGCAAATACACCTGTACATATACATATAAAAATATGTGATGTATACAATGTATGTGAATGCATAAATGCATCTAAATGAACGCAAAAATGCAGTTAAACGTTTTGTTATTTAGAAATAAAAATAAAATTCCCTTATGCATTTGCCGGCCCTAGATTTTGTTGCAGACAGCGCATGGCGAACTGCTATCTCTCTTAATGAGTATACAAATATATATATATATATATATATATATATAATTTTAATTCAGAGTATTTTGGAATTTTGCTACATTCATTTTCAAGACTTGTTATTTTTTTATTTCCCACGTTCTCGCGTTTCTCAGAACCAATTTCAACTCACGCAAGGTGACGTCAGATAAACGGTTAAACTTAACTTCTTTTTTTTTGTGAGTGCGTTCGTGTGTTTTTCATTTTTTTTTTTTTTTTCATTATTAAAACAGACTTCAATATCGGGTCACCTACAGAAAAAGATGCCTTATTTAATGTTTCGCTTTGCTTACAGCTGCCTCCATCATTTCGATTTTTTTCTTTGCACTGTGTACTATATAAAATTTTGGTGCTATTTGCTAAAATGTGTCTTATGTTAATATCACTTTGCTTATTTGTCATATATCCATCAATATGTTCGCGAACTGTACTATATATATATATATATATATATATATATATATATATATATATATATATATATATATATATATATATATATTTTTTTCAGAAGATTTCTTTCAGCAAGTATGATTCTGATGCAAATTAAAGCTTCAATACATAATCTGAGAGTAATTAATATGAAAATATTTGTGTTTAATAAAAAATAAATAAGTATTTGAATATATTTATATACAGACTTGTAGTAGCGCGGCGGCCGGCCGGCCGACCGGCCGGCGACTGTTCTAGCATAAGGAAATTAATGCAGCATAGAATATTGAAGAGAAGAGATTACTAATTCAAAAGACTATCAATAATGGATAGAGACTTGGAAATGACGAGAGAAAGAGAGGATGAAGTGAGAAAATGGTAGAGAGAGAAGAGGCATGTAGAGAGAGGGAGAAAAGAACTATTGAGAGATAGAGAAAAACAGAAGAGCAAGAGAGGGGAGTTAGAGAGAGATAGAGAGAGAGAGAGAGTGAGAGAGAGAAATAAAAGAGCAGAGAGTTACGGAAGATATAGCGAGAAAGAAAAGCGGGAAAAGAGTAGACCTAGAAAGAATAGAGAGAAACAGAGACAAAAAGAAAAGACAAATGAAGAAGAAGAAGAAGAAGAACAAGAACAAGAAGATTGAAGGATGGAACTAAGAGGGAATAGTAAAGGAGGGATAGGTAAAAGAGAGAGAGAGAGGGGGGGAAGTAACAGAAGTGCCGGAGAGGGAAGTAATAGGAAAATGTAATAGGAAATGGTAAAGAAAGAAAAGGAAGAGAATGGGAGGGAGAAGAGAGAAGAGTAGAAAGAGAGGAGAGAGAGAGAGAGAGAGAGAGATTAATAAAAAGAGAGGAGTGAGCGAGAAGAGAGAAAATGAGTGAAAGAATAAAAGAATTACTCGGGGAGAAATAGATATCACACCGGAAACCGATATGACTGCAGACAGACAAATAAACACACAAACAGGTAAGTATATATGAATAATTGATATATATATATATATATATATATATATATATATGCAATCATTCATTAAAGTATATTTAATCAAATGTGAGTTTAACATTGATGCAATTTCCAACATGCAAAAATATCCATAGATCGAAAATGTTTCCCAACATGCAGCACGTACAACTAATTTATATGTTGAATCATTAACTAAAGTGTTTAAAAATTCCTCTTGTAGACCTTTCATCACAGACACACACACACACGCGCACAAACGAATATATATATATATATATATATATATATATATATATATATATATATTGAGTCTAAGAGAGTGAGAAATAAAGATAGATCTATACCTATACACGCCTTATAGTTTTATATCACTGATTTTTTTTTACTTATTATTTAGCCAAAACGACGTAGAAACGCCACTTAACTAAGATTATTGAATATATATATATATATATATATATATATATATATATATATATATATATATATATATATATATTGATTGGATTGTGACCCTGTCAGTTTGTCTGACGATCGCAAAGAGCAGTAAACACAGTGTCACAAACTCACATCAATCCAACTAAATATGTCACCTCTATCAGTGATAATAAGCGCTCTCCAATAAGTACCGCGCATAATTAATATATAAATAATATGTATAAAAATTGCATATATATATATATATATATATATATATATATATATATATATATATATATATATATATATATATATACATACACACACACACACACATATATATATATATATATATATGTGTGTGTGTGTGTGTGTGTGTGTGTGTATATATATATATGTGTATATGTGCGTGTGTATATGTGTGTGTGGGTGGGTGTGTATATATATATATATATATATATATATATATATATATATATATGAGACTTATAATTATATCAGGAAGAGGCAAAGGAAATTGCTGGGACACTTAACGAGGAAGGAGTGCTTGGAAAATCTGATACTGACAGGACAGATAGAGGGAAAGAGGGACAGTGGAAAGGAACGCGTAACATACTTAATGGGCTTGCGCAAGTGGATGGCTAAACAGAAGCTAGGAGAAATAACAAAATGACGAGACTTATTAATAGCCACAAAGGAGAGGAGGAGGGCTATAATCGCCTACGTCCTGAAGTGACACGACAGATAAAAGAAGAAAGAGGAAAAGAAAATTGCTATTTCCCTTATAAAAGAATTTCTGTACAATTGTTCTTACAATTCATTTTGTATTTTGATTTGCCATTTCCTTCGTTTTCTCCAGAAATCCCTTTCACTTATTTTTTCCCGCCTTTTTTTGTTATAACAAGAGAAATAGCAGACTATTCTTCTTTTTTTTAAACATCTGTGCTCTTTTTTTTTTTTTCTTTGTTTTTTTATGAGCGTGTGGGTATTGCGAATGTCCCTACAAAACACCCACAAAACATTATCACATGTGCAGAAGGCGGAAGAATAAACAAAAGAGGGAGATAATCCACGCTGGCTTCAATGAACAAATTTTTTTTACAAAAGATGTTAGGTGGAGCGAGGACGAACAATAAACTAAAGCATCCTCGTCGTAACCGGGCTTTCAATTGTACGGGTTGTCGTGATTCCCAGTCGTACCGCTGCGAGCGCTAGAAAGACAAGTAAAAATAAAAGGGAAGGTGGATCCCTTTGAGTTCAATTTACGCATTACGTACCATCCTTATTTTTGCCGAAAGTGATAACAGATGATTTTGCAAAGATTGTGTCATCGACTCTGTTGTAATATCTAAAGACAAGATAAAACAGGGTACCATATAAAACAGGGTACCATATGTATTCATTAATACAAGAAAGACCCAGGAAAAGTTCACGTTTTTTTACTATTTCTTTTTTCTGATGCAACTGATTTCTTCAAATATTAACTGAATAAACTCATTACGATTTCTACGACAATAAAATATCCGTAGAAAATCGCCTATCGCAACGTTAAATATTTGAGCTTAATAACTTTAACAAAATATCAGAAATACGAACGGTATTCGTTATTTTAAGAAGTAAAGGGGTACAAATGAAAACATTTGAAATGGACAACTATTACCATTCTTTTAATCACTTTAAACACTTTTATCTTTTTGAATACTTTATTATTTATGAGGAACTGGTAGACGTAAAACATTTATATATTTCCTTCTTTCTAGACAAATCCCCGTCTTACGAACATTTCTCTTAATAATGATTTTAAAATAATTCAACAGAAGATGTTATTTTATTTATAGTAACTAGAGTTCATGGCGATTTCCTTACTCGGTTTCCACCGTTCACTTCTGTGAGTCTGAAAAAATTTCGCTTTTATCGCGGTTACCATAGTGTCTGTACCTTTTGGTTATGATCAAAGTGTAGTATCTGTTCTTAGCAATTTCTTCTGATTCTCCTTCTTTTGACTTCTGTCTCCATTTCCTTATTTCTTTCATTTTCTCACTGAAACCAACTAATGTTTTTCATCCCGGATCAAAACGTAGAATAGTCCATTATTTATGAGGTATAGACAGGATGTAATAGCGTGCGAACTATCGAAAGCAAGTGACAATTATATGACGTACATGGATTTACCCTGACATGAAAGATTTTACCTAAACAATCGGTGATTTCTTCACCGTGGAAACCAAAGATTGAACGAAAATACATCACTACACTTATTGTAAATTATCCTTTCTAACATTAGTTCAAATATGCCAAATGGAGACTTCTTTGCAGCAGCCAAGGAAATAAAATATTTTTCTCAAATAAGCAGAACTTTTTCGTTCTATTTTTTTTTTTTTTTTTTGCCTGAACACATGCAGAAAACATTTAAACTCTTTTACTATATTGTCCTATATCCACATTTCATGCCTCTTCCGGATGTTTCAGTTATTTTTCTTTAATTCAACTTTCCAATTTTGTTTCACTATTGCTGTGGCCTGCTCTTGAACTATCAACTCTTTGGGTCTAGTTACTGGATCTAACCACCGTTCTTATCCACTGGGCCATATTTCCTTATGTTACGTGGAACTAGAACAATCTACCCCGGATTCGGTTCGAAATTCCAATCACCTAGAGAAGACCGGAGCGCACAACGGCCGAAACTTTGTGAATATGCCAATGAAGATGAGGATAATAATCCGAATAATGTAAGTAATGCAAGTCGGTTAGATGTGGCACAAGATCGAAAGTATGGGGCACCCAGTGAGGGTCGAAAACACAACTCAGTCATATTTGTTCTCGTGAGGTAAGCTTGCTAACCATTACACCACCTCGAGGTTCCCTAAATGGAATCTGATATATGCCAGCTTAGATTGTATCACAAGGTCGAATGTATGAGGCACCCAGTGAGGATCGAACTCACTATTCAATCGTAAGTCTTTTAGCGAGACAAGCTTGCTAACCATTACATCACGCCGAGGTGCCAACACGATGTAATGTAACAGAAAAATTAATTAATATTACGCATATTTATATATATATCTATATCTATATCTATATGGAATAATATATACTAATACTATAATTATAATACTATTGAGGAATACTGCATATTCATTATATATATATATATATATATATATATATATATATATATATATAATTATTATTATTTATAAAAAAAAAATATAACATAAGTATGTTATAAAATCACTACAAAAATGGCCATTTTGTTTCAACACCCTCAGTGTCTTATCAAGTGATGATCTTCAACATTATCACTTGATAAGACACCAGAGTGTTGAAACAAAATGGCTATTTTTGTAGTGATTTTATAAATATACTTATGTTATAATTTTTTTATAAATAATAATTATATCTGCTCTACTTTGTATTGAGCACTCTTTTAAGAATAGTAATTGTTGGTTATTGGAATTCATTCTGTATATACCAATTATATACTTGTATATATATATATATATATATATATATATATATATATATATATATATATATATATATATATAAAACACCTCATCTCAGATATATAAACAGACATTGAATAAAAAATTTCAACACCTGAAGAAGGCCGGAGCGTACAATGGCCGAAACGGTGTGAATAGGGCAATGAAGATGCGGGTAGCATTCCGAAGAATGTAAATAATGCAAGTAATCATGATACCCCATCTCAGAGATATAGACATATATCCTGTGAGTTTACAAATTCAGTGTACAATTTCAAATACTTATAGTTTTGGAACTGCATAACAGAATTAATAGTACAACCATCTATAAGGACAATGTTTTGTTGATCGAAAAATTGATTCTTCATATTTTTACTTATTATTCTTTATCGTTTTCTTAAAACGTCAAAATATTTTTTATTTAGAATTGTTACTGACCCATAGCCTCACTAATAGAGAAATGAAACTATGTTTTTGACCGAGTTAAAAAAAAAAATGTCGCTGACGTTGTTGAGAAATCATTTCTCCAAAGAAGAGACAACGCAGGAATTTCATGTCCAAGTCGATGAATAAGTTTCAGGCTAAGTCAGTGATAAATCATGAACTGGCAGACCAAATGAAAGAGAAAAACATGGAACAGTCGTAAAATTATATAACGAATTTTTTGTCAATTATTTTTCTTTCCGTTTTATTGCTGTGGCCTTGTTAAGGCCAGAAATAAAGACACAAAGAGAAGAATTGAGTTAACATATATTAACAGAAACAGTAATACAAACATATACAAGCGAGAGTGTTACTGCAAGAATGTTCGGTCCGGCTGTCAGTGCTGACTGCTGGAAACTTCTCTCTCCAAAAGGCAATACCTGCTGCTATTTATAGCTGGGGGAGTCCATGTGTTTGTGGGTAAATTACCATAAAATTTATACCATGCATAATTTTTTTTTAATCGGTTTCAACCCACTTAAGGCATTAAAACCACAAAAAACACAAGGAGTTACTGGGTGTGGAAAAATTAAGAACAGAAACATTAGTAATGAACAGAAAGAGAAAAAGAGTAATCACGAA